CCTAGAAAAACAGACTGAGCGGGGTTTGGTCTGGTTTGGTCTTCATGAAGATAGAAAGATTTAATGCTATACAGTGAAACTTTCCAGACAAAGCATTAACATCTCCATGAAGAAAAGCATTTGGTGGACCCTCCACCAGAAAAGTTGCACAATGCACCTTTAAATCATATTACATTGTTTCTTCTCATGGGAAGTGATTGCGACCAGATTCTTTTATCATAACCATTTGTTTCTCCTGATGTCATTTTCAAATTATGCCTGGATTAACGCAGGATTTCATTGTCTGTAAATGATTAATTACATTTGTGGCCATTCAGATAAATATTTTATCTATTTTATCTGTTTTCAAACCACATCTTCAGTTCACTGCGTCATAATGATTTCATGGTCACGCTGCTGACTCTTTGACCTTTCGGGGTTAATCTGGGGTCACCGCATAGAGCAGGGGTGTCTGGGCAATGTATGCCGCAGTGTGTTCATATACTTGCAGTCTAATATCTCACACATTCCATTTGTAATAGGCCCACCTACCAAGCGCCAAACATATGGTAATTCTCAACTCTGGCTCACGGGTTTAGTCCAGGGCTTATGATGTTTAATGAAGTATTTAGCTCTTCCAATGTTTGAACTTGTCCAGCGAAGTTAGCGGAACCCTCAGCTGTACTGTCAGTGAAAAAGTTTCCTGATTAACGCAAAGGTTTTAAAAGTTTAATGGTGTTTGGACATTTTCTTTTGTTTGTGTTAGTTTTGGTGGTGATAGGAGGAGAAGGAGGAGGAGGAGTGTGGACAGAGCCAAAGTCTTCTCCAGAGAGGATTTCTGAGAGTACAAGGGTCACTTGCGAGCAGGGCAGGTCAAGCATCTACTCAATCCTCATCATTTCTCCACATAGTCCCCCTAGCCCAGACCTCTGCTCCATCCCCGCCCATGTGGATTTAGCTTAAACACTGAAACATACATTATTTAATAGAGCTAAAGTGTGTCACATGGTGGGACTCTGGGCATGTTGGTTTTAGAGCTATGCTATAGACTGTACTAGACATATACTATACTACACTACTGACTACTACTATACTATACTAGTCATTGTAACAATTATGATATACAGATTTCATTCACACATGTTTGAGTAATAACTAATAAGTTTGTGGACATATGTAAAGATGAAAATGCACTGTTTCACCTTCTGATGTCATGAAGTGGTAAAAGATGAAAAGATTCTAGTGAAGCTCTATGAATTTTAAAAACATGAAGTACTTTTTGTTTTACCACATGATATCATAAGGGGGCAGATAGTTCTGTTTGAGAGAATTACTATGCAGGATTTGTGTGTTAAACATGTGCGAATGACACAAAACACAATTCTACTCAATTTTGCAATAAGAATAAACGAGGACATATTGGTCAAATGTCCACCAAGGCATTGACCAAATAATAATGAAGTGCTCATAGGTCAACTCACGTTATGGTGCATTTAGTTTTGTAGTTATGATAAACAAAATATTCACTCATTATCTGATTTTTCATTTCAGTGCATTTTGACTGAATTTGGTCGAAAAATATCCCCAAAATCTAACTCGACATCTTTTATTTGAATTGAAATACAGAAGTTCAGTAAATACAAAATATAACAAAAATGTGTTATAATTATAATTATACAAAAATTGTGTTGCAAATCAAACTTTATAGATTTAAATTCCATAAATGGTCTCACTGTCTTTCTTTTGGTGCATCATACCGTTGTATTAACCAAGTTTGTTTATGTAATGAACTCACATGTTCAGTCTGTACACTTTGGGACTGTGCTTAATTATCAAGTGAAAACATATTGAAAAGTATTGCATCCCATCTTTTGATTATCTTTGCTAATTCTCAATCCAATTTGAACACACATTTATTCCTCATTATTACTAAACAGAAAACACGTTGTAATGAGCTGCTCTGGACTGTATATTATTACCTCTGTGTAATATCACTTGCTTATTTGTGCATCTGGAAAAGGGACCACTCTCTCCAAAATATGACATATGGGGGTAAAAACTTTTGATTAAGCCGAGGGCGGGTCTTATCATTATCGTGGACACATTTTACTGCATCAAATCATTGCATTAATGAGCTGAGTTCATTGTAAAGAGACTATGGCAGCTGGGTGAATGCTTGGAGGTTCTATTACAGCACCACTCAGACATGCAGCACTCTCTCGCAGGCTCCTGAAAATGTCTTATTTAACTTCATTTTGTATTTTTTCTTGAGTTTTCAGACAATCTAAAAACGTTTTTGGTAGTTATTGCTCATGTTTCTCATTGTGTCACCATAGTAACTGATGAATATTCCACCATACAAATACAGAAATACACCTCCAGCTTGATGTCAATGCAAATTATTAATAGAGAGCATATAGAAGTTACCATAGTGATACAAAGCACACATTAAGAAACACAGACAAAACAGTTTTAGGATTGTCTGAAAACCAAGAAAAAATACAAAATAGATTGAAACAACATTTTCATGAGTCTGTGATCAGTTGAAGCATTCATAGTCGTGTTTACGTGTTTGATTTTCAACAAAAAAAAATTGGAACACTGCTGGCTTATGCTTGCTAGCTTGTAATGTTATGTGTGAGAGACTTTTTTAAACACACAAATCATCTCCTCTGTTGTACTTCCAACCAAATCAGCTCTTTCTGGTCAGACTATGTAAAAATAAACCTCAGATTAAACCTTGTGCAACAGATCTTAGAACAGACTAGTGCTTCCAGTTAGCTTCACACCCCCAGGGAATGTTGGTGACATCAGTTGAAAAGTATCAACAGGAATAATAATTGCATTCAAAAAGCTTGATATGTTCAATGGACCATTTCTAACTTGGCGAAAAGCGCATCGAGTTTATCCAAACATGTAGTCATCAATTTCAGTTGAACTCCGGAGCTACAGGTCCCTGTGGAGAGCCAGGTGTCCACTCCCATCCGCATCAAAATTCAGCATCTGTAGTGTGCACTCTGCTAAACAAACATCAACCCACAAACACATGCATGAAACAGAATACAATATTGGCTTAGGATAAATGTTTAATGTAAAGCGGTTGCCAGTTCCTATATGCATTCCTATCTGATTAGGGCTCTGCAATGCATCAAAATGTACAGTATATGCAATAATAAACGCATATTAACTTGACTTGATTTTAATACATGGTTTATTTGTAATTTATTGCTTTAACATTGAGGGTTGCCAAAGCAAGAAAGTCAGAAAGTTTAATTTTCTTTGGACGAATTGACAAAATAACAATGTCAAAAATCATTAAAATTGGAGTCTAAAGTTTTAGGCCAACTCCAAATCACAGCAACTACTTCAATTAACTTTGTGTGGAAAATGTAGCTTATAGAGTTCCTTTTACTGGTTTATTAGCGGTATTAAATGGATGTGTTTAGCTTTAGGATTTTATAAAGAGGGATTTTGTTTCATTGGAAAATATCCCAGGTAGGCACCGCTATTAATTCTGCTCTAAAGAGAAACAAAAATCAAAATTAATCATATTTATTGTCGTATAATATTATAATGTGGATTCTGGTGATTGTACAGATCCGATATATAGTATTTTTGAATTCTTAGCCAAAGCATGATATCAAAAAAGTAATTTCTAAAGGTTACATTGACAGATTATATGCATTTTATAGGGGTGTAAAGATATCCAAGTCCCACTATATTATATTGTCACGGTATGAACCTACGCTATGATATTTATTGCGATATCGTGGGAAAGCTCATGATATGATGGGGAGGCTCATGATTAGGGATGTAACAATATCTAAATCTCTGTGTATGATATTTTCACAATATACATCTCACGGTACACTATTTATCCTCCTTTTGCTTCTTAAAATGCCTTGACGAGACTTAATTCAAAGAACTAAGACTTAAAAAAGCTTAGAACTGTTATTTCTTCATGTAATCTACTCTGAAATAGAGGGAACTACATAGACCATGATCCTTTGCTCTGTCTTTTTTTAGCTATTGCTGTACCATAATTTTTGCTGCACTCTTAATTTAATCAAAGAGATTTATAATTCAGTATATTGTGATGATCCACGACAGTATTGTGAGAACTTTGACGATACGATATCACGATATTTCAGTTACTGTTACACCCCTAATATTTTATATAGGCTTGTCATGAAACAAACAAAAACTTGAACTGAACTTGCAATTAGCATAGTTAAAGGTGGACTATGTAACATTTTCTGGTGAAAGATCTGCCATTTTCTTGTCTCCATAGCGATGTTATTTCTTGCCTGCGTAGACAAGTCACATGACATTACAGTGCCACACATTTGCTTTATTTGTTCATTTGTTTATTTGTTAGGATCCCCATTAGCTTTACCTGAGGACCAGCTAGTGTTTAGCAATAAATGCAAGATAGGTTTAATGCCATACTGCGTAACAATCCAGGCAAAGCGCTGCTATTGCTATGCAGGTCCGGGTCTACAAGGGTGCAAAAGGATGCATTGCAAACTCATTTTAAAATGCATGCACCCTCATTTTAGGCAGGTTAAATAATGACACATGGAGGAGTATTGCCTTTGCACCCCTCAGTCAGTTTGGTCTGGACCCACTGCTGTCTCTATGAAAACAGGTAGCAAAGCCTCCACTAGAAAAGTTCCACAGTGCACCTTTAATGTTGCTTGAATTTTGAAACCGACCTCAGTTTTTAGTCAGAGTTATCTCGTGTTTGCATCATCGGAAAATCAAACAGCCGTGGCACTATATTCAGACATAAATATCTGATCAGTTGCTTTGTTGCTATAATTGACTTTGCACATTGCAGACCCTCCCAGTCCCCCTCCCACAGTGTGCTAGTGGGTCAAGTTCTTGCTGCATTCTCTTTGGGGGTTTGGCTGGTGCCCTCATGCCAACTGCGCCATGGTTCACATATTGAGTTATAACTTCTGACTGCTGTGATCACAACTAATACTAATCATGATTTTCTGGTGTTGCTTTCCTTTCAGAGACTGCGGAGGATCTGGCAGACGAAAATCAGGTAAGATTTTTCACATATTGTATTTGTTTCGGCATGTTTTGTCAGTCTATGTAGAAATTTCAATGCTATAGGTTGAAAATCCATAAATAATAAAGAGAAAATGAATTATGTTTGTAGACATATCAAACCCCCCTGGGCTGTTATCATTATGTTGCCAGGAAACGCAACTAAAATCATCATGCCCAGACAAAAATAGTCTTTAACCTGACCCTCGTGATGGGGAAAACTGCCATTTTCTGTGAGTCAGATCTCATTTAGCTCAAAAGACATGTAGAATTACTATGTTTTTTGTAGACATTGTTATCATTTCAAAGCTTTAGGGAATATTTGAAAGATAGCTTGTGAATAGCATAGTGTTTATTTGATATCACTTTGTAATGTTGTGTAATAAAGCATAACTGTTACAGTTATGCTTCTAAGGCTTTGCGTATTTTGATGACTTGATATCAGTTCTCATGGTATTATGGACAGAAATTGTTTAAATTTTCTCTAAGTGTATGCATTAGCATTTATGGCAGCCTTGCAGGGACAATCTGAACTATAAATGCAATTGCTAAAACATATTTGGTAGTTTTAATGCATTTTGATATATAATTGCTATATAAATTGTTATATTAATATGATTTTTAATAAGATAATATAGAGTGGGAACATTTTTTGTCATAGGAGCTCTTAAAGGGCCCATATTGCACTATTTTCTGATCTCTGTTATAATGTTGTTTCCTCATCACAAACATACCTGGAGTTTTGTTTTGTTTTATTCACATATGTTTAACGCACAAACCTTGCATATTTAAGCTGAGTTCTTCTCTCAGACAGAAAACACTCTGTCCCACCTTGTGATGTCGTGGTAATACAGGAAGTGCTCCACTGTGTTTTTAAACTCCATACACCTTCACCAGAATTATGTGGATGATTCAGACCTTTAATTCTCTACTGAACAAAAGGTAAAAGGCAAACTACCACTTCATGCCATCACAAGGCGGAAGAGCGCATTTTGAGCTTTGGAGATGTAGACAACCTAAAAATGCAGGACTACTCTGGGTATGTTTTTGAGGAGGTAACAGTATTCTAACATGGCTCACATCTCATAGTAAATTTTGCGTAATATTTAAAAAATATTAGTGCAGGCTGCCAAAGAATGAAGATAAGCTTTAATTAGGAATACATATATTAACAGTAATGAGAAAACAGTTTAAGGTTGTCTTTTATTATAGTCCAGTCATCAAATCATCAAAACGCCCTGGATATTTTGACATTTATAGACACACATTTACATACCTTTGACACAGTGTAACATTACGCTTACAGGAAGTAGGCACCTGTTTTTGGCACATAGGAAGTGCACACGATCTGCTCAGACTGACTCTTGGAATGACATCTATATTTGAAGGTGGAGTGCAATATAGTGACCTCACCATTCAGCACAAGAGACTATCAGTGAACAGCTGTTGGATTGTTGCGTGTCCGTTGCAGATGTAACATATTGTAGATAATTTTTCTCAGAACTCGAAAATAATTCATTGAGAGGATATCATTTTTGGTTGGTTATCCGCTTTTTGCCCTCTGAGTGAAACAGGATTCTCAAATGTATGTCATCGTGCTGTTTCCATGGCACTGAGGCTTTATGTAAGAGAATTCCAGATAGACAGGGAAATGGAAAAGTTGTCTTATTGCAGCTGTGAGTGTTAACTAGCATAAATTCAGGCACATGATACTATATTAAGGTGGTTTCCTTTTTTTTTTTTGGCTGTCTGGAAACTTTGTCATAGTTTATGTGCATCGTGGTATGATTCTGAATGCAGTGAAACAAATAAAACACTGAAAATTTTGGAAGTACATGGTAAGTCAAAATTGCTTGAATTAAGAAGATGCAGTCTTTATTGGAGTAGATCTGTCTTTTAAAGCTGCACTATGTAACTTTTCTGCTGGATGTTCCATTGCCTGCTTGTCTCCATGAAGATGCTATTGTTTTGCCCAGAATGTTGTATTGTATGTACACAGTATGGTATTAAACTGATCTATCTCAAACATGAGTGTGATGTCACCCATAGCGTTTGGCTCCATTCAAATGAAGCTCAAGATGCCAGCAGTTATATGCAAAAATAGATTTTAATACCATCCTGATTTTAATACCATACTGAGATGAAGCAAGAAGATTTCCTTGGAAACAGTCAGGTAACGGACCATCTACCTAAAAAGTTACATAGTCTACCTTATTAAGTACAAGTTGTTTTTCTTAAATCATCATGTTTTTAAGTACAGAGTTGTATTTTATTGGCAATTTGAGTAATGATATGAGTTACTTGTTATTGCTCTGATACCTACAAAATTTCTAAAACAGATGTTCCGAGAAAAACAAGAGGTAAGGTTATAAATTTGGAGTTGAATTTTGTAAACACACTTAAACGTGCACTGTATAACTTTTTGAGTGAAGGGTATGCTACCTCTTTTCTCCATGGATATGTTTTGTGAAGAATGTCCCACAGTATGGCATTACACTTATCTCTCTAGCATTTATTTCATTACACCTGTTTTATTGCTCAAAAATACCTCTTCCTTTTTACAGTGAAGTAATCTCTCCACAGATCTGATCTGTACCTCTGCCTGGTTGGGCTACCAATTGTTTGCTTTTAGATATCACATTTTAATGCCATATTGGGGAATATTCTATCCAAAGTAGTTATATCTCCACTGAGACAAGCAAGTACTCTCTACCAGAAAAGTTACAGTGTACCTTCAATGTAAATAGATAATTTTTATGATTAAGTATGATTACGTTGTTTTACTTGAGTGCATCATGTTTTTTAGGTGCAGTGTTGCATTTCATTGGCCGATCATTTTATTTGTTAAATCAGATCCTCTCAGATTATGGGAAAATGAGTCTGTGTAATGTGACCTTCAGAGATATTACTTTGACTTTTCAGCCTAATAAAACAATATTTACCCAATGACATAATTTACTCTTGAAAGTGTACCATTTGTCTTTACAGTTGCACAACAGAATTGGCGCCTTTAATTATCTAGTTTGATTTGATTATTTTCCTTTTTATTTTTCCCCAATCCATCTGTTTTTTTTTTTTTTTTTTTTTTTTTTGTTTTTTTTAACATTTCCTTCCCCTGAAGCTCACAATGCTAGCAGTTATAGGAGTGAATTTGGAGCCGAGTTCCAAGATGCGGAATCAGGATCAGGATCATGTATAGTGGGTTAATACAAACATTGTAAGACCAAAATCACAAGGCTCACTGCAGCAGTCTCAGAGAGAGAGAGGTGACAATTCTTCAATGTAAAGTCAATTGGAGCCTGAGTTGATGGAGCCAGAAGTGCCCCCATGGTCACTTCCTGTTTGGAACATGGCAGCTAGCGGGTTAGCTATGCCCATTTATATATGCAGTCTATGCTTTGAACCCATAACCTCCTCTCTAAAACAGTAGCCTTTGAAAGGATGCATGAACATATCTGGGATGCACAATGGTAAATTATAAGTTTTGCGTGAGCTCCTCTTGCTTTTACTATCTGCACCCAACCTTCTCCACATACCTTCTGGACTTCAACTTCCATAGTCTATTGCCAGACTCTCATCACTGTCCCCTGCCAGGACACGAGACCGCCGAAAGATTGATCTGTCCCTTGTAAAGTCGGACAGCAGATAAAGTGCACGGAGGTTGTGGTGAGTTTGTGCTGTAGCTGCAGCTTAGACTCTCCATAATTACAGGCTTCTGGTCTCTTCTGGTCTCCCCGAAGAGTGCACTGAGCTCCTGGCCCCAAGTCCAGAATGTTGCTCCCCACCACAAAACTGCAACGCTCCGATTTTTCAAGAGCTGTTTTGTACCTGGCAACCTCGCCGAGTCCAGTCCAGTTTTACATATTGAAAGTACATTAGGAGCCTTTATAGCTGTAATAGTCCAAGTAAGTCCATCAGTGTCCCATGTCCTCACACAACACGTATTTGTCATAACTACACTGCAAAAATGTAAAGAAAAGAAAAGTCTAAATATCTATGAACTGAAATCACTGGAATTCCGAATTTTAGAATTTGGTCATTTTGTATAGATTTTATTTATTTTGTTTGTAGGATTTCATCTTTGCATTTGTTTGTGCTTTTAAACTAGTAGTTGTTTCCACCAAAATGTTTTATCTATAGATTTTTTGAGTAATAAAAACATAAAAACTAAATACAAAACTCACTTTATTTTGCATCAGTTGTGCTCCTCTTGGATTTGGAGCTAGCATGCCATCTACTGGCAGCAGTAGCCATTTAATGAGGGGGTATTTTACTTGTACTGTAGTATTAACTGCTAACAGATAACGTATTTGGATCACCATGTTCCATTTTATTGTTATGAAAATTGGTATATTCTGTGAAAATATATTAACATAAGTTATACTTCACTTCAGTTTTTGATGTAACTACAGTGCATCAGGTTTTTCAAGTTGTTGTGTACAGTTTTGTATCATGTTTTTGTATTTATGGAGAATTGTCGTGTCGTGTGGGAGCATGGATGACGTAAGCTCGTGGGCTGCGCATTGGACAGAATCTTATAACTAAAAGTATGGGGGTTTGAATAGGACCCAGGAGAGATCTCTAAACTACTCAAACATGCATGGATGACATCTAAAACCTCTTCAAGCATGTTTTTGATGAGGGGACAAAGTTATAACATGGTAGAAATCTAAAAAAAAAAAAAAAAAAAAGATTTAGCATAATACCCCCTCTTAAAGCAACGTGACCAACATGCTAATATGCACATGCAGTTACAATTAACACACTTTGACATCAGAAAAAGTCTGACGATGATTTATAGACTTGTGATGTAACTATTTGAGGAAAATTTAAATGGAGTGACTCTAAGCAAGACAACCTCGTAAACAGGTTTAATGATTTTTCACCAAAAGATTAAAAAGAGTCTTTTAACATTTTGAAATAAAAACATTTTAACATGTGTATTTTTGCAGTGTCTGTCTGAGTTTTTAGACACAAAAATGGCCGTACAGAACT